CAAAAACATATACTTTTATTCACAGGGTAAAACAGTTGTTTTGTATCACTAATTGTCCAGTACGATTACAGCATACAATATTATTGTCACTGCTACATTTCTGTAATGCTACCAGAAATTATTTCCACTACTAATTAATTACCGTTGAGCTCAAAGGTTATATTAATAAACGGTTAACGAATGTGTATTTATGACGACGATTTGTGATACTGGTAAACTTACCTTTGTTCGTCTTTCGTTCTACACGGTGCATTTCAAGGTCCTGCACCCATCCGTCGGTAAACTGTACCTGGACTTGTTGCAGTGACCTGAAGTTACTAAACTTCATGAGTGTATGCACTCACTCCAAGAAGCGTATAATTATAAATCTGGGCGTGGTGAAAGTTGGGCAGCACGCTGACGTCTTTTGTCCCTCTGTGCGCTCGTAAGGGTCTAACCCTTTCACTCCTTTGATTTTTTCCTCGTATCTTTTCTTTGTCTTTTCGTCGAGTCTGTCTTTTTACGGACCGGCATTGTTCTCCTTTTGTTTTGTACATTCCTTTTTTGTGCGGCAAAGAAAAAACAAGAAGGTATTGGAACCGGAGAATGAACGTTTTGCGGTGCTACAAACGCTTGCATTTGATGCGGTACTTGGATTATTTATGTTCAGTAGCTCTTTCTAAGGGTATTTTTTCAATAACCTTGTGCACATTTTATTTATGTTCAGTAGCTCTTTCTAGCTCAAGCAAATCCACAAACTAATAAAATGATTTATTATTTTGTATAAGGTTGTCTGTTGACTGTTGTATATAAAACCCATTCAATATAGTTGTTGTTACCTCAGGGGAGGCGGAAAAAAAAATAGAGTACCGGCACCTCTTTTGGGCCACTTAAAGCACTGCGTGCCATCATGGCACCAGATACCGGTACCCATCCCTACTCCTGATCTCCTAACTGGACACCAAATATGTCAGTTCTCATTCTAATTGTCATCGCCAGGGGTTCTATAGCTAAGATAAATAGCATTGGAGATAATGGACACCCCTGGCGAGTGGAACGCTCCAATGTAATAGGGTTAGAAACTATGTTATTTGTTAAAACACTAGCTTTGGGATTTTTATACAAAAGTTTAACCCATTTGAGAAAATTGTTTCCAAATCCATATCTTGGGAGAACAGTAAATAAATATGACCACTCTATCCTGTCAAAAGCTTGACGAACGTCAAGTGATAATAAAGCTGTATCTTTAGCATCAAATTTCTCGTGAATATATTTAGAACCGTTCTTATATTGTGAAACCCTTGACGTTTTGGCACAAAGCCATTTTGATCATTATGAACTAAATGTGATATATAGAGGTCTAATCTCCTTGCTAAAACTTTACAAAGTATTTTAGTGTCAACCCCCATCAGACTTATTGGTCTAAATGATGAACAGGGGCAGGGGGTTTGCCAGGTTTCAGTATCAAAGTAATCATTGCCTGTCTCAGAGTGGGTGGGAGAGCTTCATTTTGATACACTTCTTCATACATGTTAAAAAGTGGAATTAATAATTTGTCTTGGAAAGTTTTATAAAATTCAATCAGAAAGCCATCTGGCCCAGGTGCTTTACCACTGTTAATGCTTTTAATAGCCTGTGATATCTCTTCAGTAGTTAGACGTCTGTCTAATTCCTGCTTTGTGTTTTTTGTTAGCGTCTGAAACTGAAGTTGATCTAAGAATACGCCCCATTCTTCTGAGGTTTGAGCACATTCTGATTTATACAGTTTTTCATAAAATTCTCTAAAGCTGTCATTAATTTCCACTGGATCTACTGTTACATTCCCTGAAGAGGTCTTTATAATATTAATTGCTCTTTCACTCTGCATTTTCTTAATTCTCCATGCCAAAAGTCTGCCTGCTTTCTCTCCTTGGTCATAATAAGATTGCTTCAGCCACATTAGGCTTTTTGCTGCTGCATCAGGTGATAATTTATTATATTCAGTTCTCAGACATAGCAACTCACTTTGTTTTGTTGAGTCGTCGCTAACATTTAAGTCTAATTCCAAAGATTTAATCTGTTTATCCAGGGTTTCCATTCGCTTTCTTTGCTGTTTATTCTTTGTACTCGTAAAGCTAAGAATTTCACCTCTAATATATGCTTTGAATCCTTCCCATCTCACCGAGGCACAAGTTTGATCTGTGTTTAACTCAAAGTAATTTTCTATTTTCTCCTCTATAAATTTAACAAATTCAGGATTCTGCAGCCATTTTGTTTGAAGCCGCCAGTGAGGGGGGTTATGGATAAACTTTCCTCGATGGATACTCAGTGAGATAGCTGCATGATCACTGATCACTATGCTATCATACTGACACTGTTTGATCCTTGATAAAAGTTCTCTTGAGACAAGAAAATCTATACGTGAGCGGGATTTATGTATACTTGAATGACAGGAGAATTCTATTTTATCAGGATTTGTTCTCTCCACACTTCTACCAAGTTGATATCTGATATAAATCGATTTATTAGTCGTCTAGTTTGTGCTTTATATGTATCTGAACCTGTTGAGCGATCCATACTCGGATTGAGAGTACAGTTAAAGTTTCCTCCAATTATATACAGTCCTTGCAAAGCAGATACAGTAAGAAACAGATCTTCAAAAAATTTGGGCTTATTTTAATTTGGGCCATAGAGACTCACCAAGTTTAAAGTAATAGAAAGGATGGTACCCTGAGTGATTACGTACCTACCAGCAGGGTCTTTTATTATTTTCGTCATTTGGGATGGTATGCTTCTATGAATCAAAATAATTACACCTCTCACATAGTTATTGTATGATGCGTTGATCACCTGGTCAGGCCATCTGTTCCTCACAGACTTTAGTTCACAGTCTGTCAGATGTGTTTCTTGAAGAAAAACTATTTTTGATTTCAATTGGATCCTCATCTTGCATGGATTATATTGAAAACCGCGGAACACTCCTTCGTCGGCAAACACTTTTCTGATCGCGTTGAACTCTGTTTAAGCCGGACGGTCTCAGCTGAGAAATCTTGGGCAAAAAAAGAGTTTGTTTCCGTCGTGCTCGATGTTACTGTGTTTTGTAGAGCGGAAAACAAACTCCCGATCTTGGAAGTTCAGGAATCGGATATGGACAGCTCTGTGTTGGTTTGGCTTTAGAGGGCTTATTGAGAGGGCTCACCGCACCCTAGCACCTCCGTCAGTCTCAAGCCAGCGCTGTAACATCTCCCGTAAAAACTCCAGCAGTGGCCGCTGACCCTTGGCACCCTCCCGGAGGGCAAATAGCCGCAGGTTCTTCCTTCGGCCCCGGTTCTCCAGGTCGTCGGTTTTTGCCTCCAGGTAGGATATACGCGTCATGGCATTGCTGAGATCGGCCACGCTCTTTCCCAGGAGCTCCTCTGCCGACATTATTCTATTTTCAGCTTCCTCCAGTCGTGTAGCATTTGCAGCAACATTTTGCTTTACCTCCGTCATGTTTGTCTCCAAAGCAGCAACTGACTTCGTCATTTCGCCCATACGGTTATCTATGCTGTCCAGTTTAGTTCCGAATACACTAAACTCGGAGCGCAACGGCCGAAGTACAGCTAACACCGTGCTAAGGTCACCCATGCTACTAGTGCTAGCAGCTCCCTCGCTGTTTTCAGGCGTTACCAAAATATCGGTTTATCTGGTTTTTGGGAACCGCGTTTTCGGGTGAAAATATCAGTCCTTGAGATTAGTCGTTTTTGACATTTTCCAATAGCAGTTAAGTTTCTAGTTTTGGGTTGTTCTGGGTTTTTAATGCAGGTTACACGGAGCAACCACTTTATGCTGCCATCTTGGTCCGCGGCTCCATAGCGCCCCCGTTCTGGCCCATCTTACTGGTGGAGGAGGAGGAGGAGGGGATTTGGTCAATGAGGATACGCCTCCAGTAATCCAAGTTATCCCACCTGTTCTAGACCCCGTCTGTCTAACTCAGAATTGCTGAAATCATTGCCGAGTTTGCTTGAGCATCTGTCTTCAGAGCAGCAAGAAGACATAACTGTCTTGATTAATGAATGCACCTGTTTATTTGGGGATGTGCCAACTCGCACTACAGTGCTAGAGCATGATATTGATGTCCAGGGAGCTAAACCTATTAAGCAGCATCCTTATCGAGCCAGCCCCCATAAACGCTTGCTCTTGAGACAGGAGGCTGACTATTTGCTGCAACATGGCTTAGCGAAGCCCATTCAAAGCCCCTGGAGCTCACCTTGTATAGTGGAGTCTAAGCCAGATGGCTCGCCCCATTTAATTACAGACTTTCGGAAGGTGAACTCTGTGACTGTGCTGACTCACATCCTCTCCCAAGAATTGAGGATTGTGTGGACAGTATTGGGTCATAACAACGGCGTTTACACTTCAGTCTGCCTCTGGTGGCTTTTTGACACAACTGTGACATTCAGCAGTCCCCTCATTGTTCTGACACACACAACAAAACTATCGACTACACAATAACTACACACTCCAAACACACTACACATCACAAATCCCTCTTGTCCCCAAAAGTCTCCCTCCAAACAACCAAATGTCACATGTTGCCATATGATTTTTTTGATTGGTCGGCATGGTGCATTTTTCCACCAATAGGAAAGTGGTGGGTGGTTTTTGGTCACCAGCGGAGAGTGCTTGCTAGCACCGTTTCTTCCCGCAGTAAACGTGACGACAGGATTCAGGAAAAACCACTGCGTATGTTTTTGATCATGACTCTGGTTTTATGCGGCCTATCAACACAATCTAAAAACCGGTCTGTAGTTTGAAATCCACACTTTCAACACAAACGGAGGGTGGCTGCATCTTGTTCCTATGTCGAGAGGGTTCCCAGAGGGTTAATACTCCACATTTCATCTGCACAGTTGAGGATGTTTTATCGCTCTGTGTTTGTGAGGTTTCAGGCTGTGATGGTAGATGAGGCAGGTGTGGGACTGACGCGAGTAAACTGAGTTTAATCAGAAATGTTCTTGTAACTGAGACACATGGAGCAGGTTTGAAGCTTTCTCAGAAAAACATTTATTTATCATTTTAGTTTGAACAGAATTTAAATCATGTTTGAAAAGAAATTTTAAGGACATAAAGAAAGTTTGTCTTCAGGGACGATGTTGGTTTGTTTGAACTTCTCTAACCTCTAGCTGCTGCTCCTACGCCCTCCACCTCTGTTCCTGCTGACGCTCCTGCTGCTGCTGCTGCTTCTGTACTTGCTTCTCTTCCTGCTGCTCCTGCCTCCACCTGCATGTTTTCCAGCTTCTCTACTCCTGTATATCTCTCTCTTCCTGCTACTGCCCCCTCCACTGCTTCCACTGAAGCTCCTGCTTCTTTCCCTGCTGATGCTGCGCTCTCTCTCAGCGTTGTTATCAATACAAAACTCTGAAACTCTGTGATTTACAGAGCAGCTGTGACACACTAACTCAGGATTCTGCTGTACATCACAGCGAAATATGTAGTGGAGACCACCCATCGAATAAGAAAGCTCAGTCAGTGACGTTTCTAAAACATCTCTGGTTACACTGGAACCATCGTTTGGATGGCTGAAAACTTTTGTAAACACAAAGGCCCCATCATGCCATCTGTCAACCTGATTTTTAATCATGTTAAGGATGTTGAATTTTTTGTTACTGTCTGTGCACTTGCTACATGGGGAGAGGTAAGAGTAGATGAGGAGGAAGTCGTTCTTTCCCTGTTTCTTTAGTTTGTCCAAGCTTTCCAGAACTGCGCGTTCTGCATGTACAGGTCCTGTGGGAACAGCTAAAACCAGCCTGCTGCTAGCATATACCTCACCCCCTTTAACTGAGTCTTCCATGTGCTCATTAAAGCGGTCGTTATGAAGGACTTCACTGATAAGGGTGTTTGGGTCCTGTTGATCTGGGATGGTTGCAGCCAGACAGAATTGACCTGTTAGTCTGTACCTGTTAGAAAAAGAAACAAAGATCGCAGGTCATTTCACACTGCATCTGTGTGTTCCAGTTCACGTTTGTCCTTTGTTGTGTCAGTAAGCAAAAATCTGGAAGGAATGTATTTCAGTAGGAAGTGTATTTGTGTTGCTAAAACTAAGAAAGCAGAGCTTAAAAGGAAGAGGCAACCCAAACCATGTGTCACGGTTTGCGGGGCAAGCCATGAGGTGTTTGTGAATAAGGACCCAAAATGCAGGCACTGGCTGTGATGCGAGTGAGCTTTTATTACAGGAGGTGAAAAACCACAAAAGCGAGGATGGCAAGGACAGAATTAAAACATAACCTGAACTGGGAAAAACTAGTAACAACCTGAAATCATAAAATGCAGAGAGACGGCACGGAGAATGTAGAGCAGTGACACACCAGGTAACACAGACAAACCAACAATGAACACAGGCAAGCACACAATATAAATACACACACAAGGTAACGAGGAAATGGCACACAGGAGGAAAACACGAGAGACAGATCTTCAAAGTAAAACAGGAAATTCACGAGCACAAACTCAGGGACACGAAAAGAGCACTGGGGGGAGGACACAGGACGAAAACCTAAGAACTGCAAACCCTGAAAATGAAACCTACATACGAATACAGACAACCATGAAGAAATCAAACACTCAAATCAGATAATAATAATAACCATAATGATAAACACAAAACCCTGGGCCACCGACCCAGCACCATGACACTATGAGCTTTTTACTAAACCTCGCCCAGCAGGTTTTAATGAAAGTACAATTTTTAATTAATACATTCAAATGACTGCATCTACAAATAAAAACAATGTGTGAAGACTGCAGCATGCATGGCTTCAGCTTCTGCTTCTCATGTGCTCCACCACCCTCCAACCTGCACAGGTGGACGTTTTTCATTCATCTACATGAATCAGTACATATGCGTGTGCAGAAACAATCATAGGTCAGAGGTCGCACCTATTTCATAACTATTGAGTTCCTATTTCTCTTTATTAAGTGTGCCTATGCCAAAAGGCACACTTATTACTATTGCTCGGATTTATTATTCTTATTCTTATTATTATTCTCCATCTTCCGCCTGAACTTTATGACAGCCTCCCCTATTTTCAGGCGAGAATGTAGGTGTGTAAACTTCAAATATCTGCTTGTTTTTTCAAGAAGTCCCATATTTTATCAAGAAGTCCCATATCTCTCACGATGTTACTGCTAGCGCCGCATGGCAGCTAGCTGGCTAGCGCGGCTTGGCTGACACCCAGGCCGGGCTGGCTGACACCCAGGCCCGCTCACGCTCTCGTGTCACCCCTAGTCTTTCGTGATGACTGTTGGTTGGCTGCTGGACTTATTTTTCATTTATATGGGCTGGTGATTCGGTACGAGTGTCCGGTGAACTGAATGTCAGGTAAGACGTTATGTATATGTAAGGTAGTGACTGGAATAAGTCACAAGGTGTCGCTGTTGAGCTGCATATATGTTGTAAATTTTAGCAATTTTGACCATTTGTCCTGTGCAGGACACTGTAGTTCAGATTTCTCGTTCGCGCGGGCTCCATCTTGGTTCAGTGTTTACTGTGATGTGCAAAGGTAAGCACTGTCAGTGGCGAACTGCATTGGTTTTGTTTAAAAATAAGTGTTCCACTGTGTAAAATAGCGGTTTGTCATTTAAGCCGAGCATATATTTTGTTTACTGAGAGGTTCATGTATTGTCTGATGAGAGTATGAGCAGTTTGTGTGCATGTTTCATTTGCTAATATCTGCCGCAATTTCGGGCTACATTCCCGCTAGTTAGCAGAGCACCCATTCGGGCAAAGTAATGCAAGATGAAGCATTAGCTTTTCAGCTGCAGTTTGCTGGTAATCCTGCTATGTTAGTTTTGTGTCATACTCATTCCTGAGACCGTGGAATTTTGTAAAAACATGATTATTTTTGCTTAATGTGTTTTTTTATATATATGTTGTTGTATTTTACTACGTTGATAATCACACAGTGTTTACTGTGATGTGCAAAGGGCCAGCAGCAGAGTTGGAGTGGTGTTTGCCCCAGCATCTGAATAAACGGCACGGTCCGAGCCACAAATTGAACGCCTGTGTCCGACTGGTCTCTCTACTGTGCACCCCAATCCAACACAAACTTACACAACGCAGAGTCCGGGGTGTAGGGAGGCCCCTGCACGGGTTGGGTTACATATATTTCCGTTGTGCTGACTTTTTACAATCAGTTACAATAAGTCGTACAGCTGGGTGGGTGCTGTGTTACTAATGGTGAACTTTATTGTATTCATAAGGTTAATTATTGGGTTGCCAACTGCCCCGTGCAAACGGAATCGTCCCGCATTCAGAGAAAATATTACGCGTTTCTTATTGAGCTGAAAAGGAACACAGTTTGTCCCGTACTTCAGGTAGAATGGAAGAAGACACAAAGCTGGATTTATTCTGTCGTTACTCAGCCTCCCCTGTCATTCTCTCGCCTGTTGCAACTTCAATCGTGAAACTGATCAATGATCGGCTTTTCTCTCGTTTGTTTATTGCGCTAAACAACAGCAGCAGTTTAAGCTTGATCAGCTGTTGTTAGAATTCATTTGATTTTAATTTCTAGTATCAGCTGATGTTTGCTGGAGCCACAGCTGTAAAAAAAGGGCTGGTCGAAACCAGGAGATGTCCTTACTGAATCATCAGGGCTGAACTGGTGATGGAGAAACAGGTTTACCTTTTAGGTGACATGAATGAGTTGAAGGGAAGTTATGAACTGTTTCTGAGAGACAACTAACACCAAGCTCCTTTTTTTTTTTGTGTAGCTGACAGCTGGTAACTGTGCAGGGGCGGATCTAGCACAGCTTTTGCCAGGGGGCCAGGTAGGGCATTAACAGGGAGAGGGGGACACAAAGATATACTTTTCTTTCTTACTCTCATATAAACTATTTAGCTTTTATTAAATAGTTATCTGAATCTTACAACCAAAGTTTGTATAATAATACACAAGATTGGCTGTAGACCATTGTTAATCATTCAGAACACTGTGTAAAAATAACAAAAAACAAAAAGTGAATGCAAAAGTGCATAAATATTTATTTTACGTGTTTGATGTGTGTGGCAGGGCGTGGTCTGCTGTGCCGCTGCAGGGGAGGTGGACCCACCTCAGCGGCATCTGCAATCACGGCTCTCAGGTGTAAAGTCTGTGCTCTCTCTGCTTTTTTTTTTTTTTTTTTTTTGTATGTGTCGGGCTGTGAGATGAAAAGCTACAGCCGGCTGTGTGGGTACAGCATCTATGTGTGAAAAGTGGTCCATAACGTAATGCTTCAAAGCGTGTTCATGCAAACATTGTCGGGTCTGCTTATGAACCTCTGCGCACAGCGTCTACAAATCGGGGCTGTACGAAGTCACCTCATCTTTACACAAAACTGTAAGCTGTCATCTGTGAGGCGCGAGCGGTGTTTGGTTTTACCATAGTTCATGGTGGGGAATGGCTGCTCTGCTGAGTTTTGCTCTCTGTAGCCATTTGAATGGCAAACTATACTGATTAGCGGCGGCATAGGCACACTTAAAATTTCTTCTGAAATTTTCGCTTTCTAGTTCTTTATTCCACTATTTTATTCTAGTTGCTTCCGTACACTTTTTGGCGCTTAACTACTCCCACAGTTTTTGTGCTATTTGCACCGTTCAAATCTTAAAAAATTCTGCTCTTTCTGCTAATGCGTGCAATGACTTTTGGTGCTCATAACTTCTATACTTTTTGAGATATTGAATTTTTTTTGCAATATTTTTTGCCCATTTCTGCCATATTATCAGTGGCCTCACTGATTTTTCCTTGCCAGGTTGACCTGTGTTTTAGCTCAGTGAGATAAGCATCCGTTCTCAGACTGGGAGGCCAGGGTTCAAATCCCACTTATGGCAACATTTCTTTCAGTTAACACTTAAACTTTTTTTTAAATCTTTTCAACACAAATTTCAGCTTTTTCACCCCTTTTCAGCAAAATTTTCAGTTTTTTCTGCTGTTTTCAGAAAAAAACTTTTTTCAGCAGAAATTCTGCTGATTCACCTCTTTTCTGCAAAGTTTTCAGCCTTTTCACCTCTTATCAGCACAATTCTCAGCCGCTTCTGCTCATTTCAGCACAATTGTCAGTCTCTCCACCACTTCTTTGGGAGAAAGAGTTTGGTGCAGTGAGATGAATAGCTACCTTGAGACCTGAAGGGCCAGGTTTGAATCCTGCTCAGGGCAATGGTTTTTTTTTTTTTTTTGGTTTTTTTTTTTCTTCCTTCAACCTTTTCAGCTTTTTTCAGCAGACATCTTCAGCGTTAAGGCATCCACACAGCATTTTCGCAGGAAATGCAAAATTTTCTAGTCTGCTCTGAGACTGTGATGTGTAGAAGTGCTCGATGTAGTCACAGATTTTCATCTGCAGTTCTTATTTATCGAACAATACCATGAAGATGAACGTGGAAGCACGCGAGCACAAAAAGTAGAATAATAGCAAAAGTTTAGTGTTTTAAAAAAACACAATAATAAAAATGTACAAACACACATGTGACTCCAGACTGCAACAGCTCTCAGATTAGAAATGAGCGACAGTTTCCTTTGGAAAGATGATTTTAATATAAAATACTTCACTCAAAATTTTGTTTTCTTCTATTTTTTTTATAATATTAGTTTTTGTTGTTCTTTATTATTAATAATCACTGATATCAGTGTGAGCCCCTGAAAAAGCCTCATCAGCTGATATCCAGCTTATTTAATGTTGTGCCCCAGAAGAAATTTGTCATCTGAGGTCAGTGGTTTTATGCACAGTCCCTCACAAATAAGCAATAAAAAGACAAAACAGGAAGATTACTGATGAATGACATAATAAAGTTCACTTACTCTGTCCTTATGGCTTTTATAATACGAGTTAACCAATTCACATCCACAGCCAGACTGGTTCCAGCTGCCAGCAGGACATACAGCATGAAGCAGGGCATCAACTTCATCTGCACCGTTGAAAACAACACGTTTATGATGAGTTTTAATGCAGTAAACAGTTAACCATTACAGTAAACTGTTAAGTCAAAACTCCTAAAAATATCTTACCTTTAAAAAGTCTTTTAAAAATCTCAAACTTTCTCACCTTCACTGCTTTGTTTGTCCTAAAACTGCAACAGAAGAAAGAAACCAATGAAATGTAGGAAAGTGAACTGGGACTAAACTGAACCAAGTGCTTCACATACCTGCACAGTTGGAAGGTCTGTGATCTTCACTCAGCTGTAAGGAGTGGTTTGATCTGCAGTAGTTGAGGTTTTTATATGAGCAAAGGGGCACAGCAGCCTAAAAATGAGGAAGACAGAAACGAGAAGAAGAGCATCTTATCAGAGCATCATCACATCCTCTCCATCTGTGGCCACAGTCAGCAAATATGATGAACTCTGTGAGTGCGACAGCTTTTTACAAGCTTCAGCCACAATCAGTCGTTAAAACCCTCTACAGCATAGCGTTGCCCTGAGGCAACAAACCACATTTTCATGCCTTACACTGGCCCTTCAAAAAAACAACAACTTTTTTTTCTTCAAATAATGCTACCAGACACATCTCTTTCCAATAAAATGATGAGTTGAAGGTGGTGTGACTTTCATTTTGGGGGGGGAGGACCCATTTCTGCAAGCTGCACTACATGAGAGACATCTCCATTAGGAGGCAAGATAAAGATCACTATTTTACGTGTTTATAGTGAAATAAATGTATATTAAAAAATACTTGTATGTGCATGAATATGTTAAGAAGCATATTTGATTGTTTGTTCTACTTTTTTAAATTTATTTATACAGTAAAACAGTTAATTTTCATTCGTTGCCTCAAGGCAACACTGTGCAGTTAGCCCAATTTTTTTTCAGGCAATATAATGCATTTGCATATGAGTCTAGATGTCATGGTCTCCGTGCCTGCCCGGTCGGCCCCACAAGGCTACAATTGCTGTTTCTGTTCTCTCCCTCTCTGCCTGGGCGGAGCTCACTGTGGGCTCCTGCCCTTGGCCCACACACACACCTGACAACACTCACCCATCATCACCGGGAGCACTATTTGAGGCTGGAACACAGATCCTCTCGTCGCTGGATGATTGTACCCCCTAACGTTAGTGTTCTCACAGCTCTTGTGCTTCATATTTGTGATTTGTGATTAGTTGGTGACCTGCCTTCTCGTCTGCCTCAGATCTTCCCCCCCCGGACCTGCGACCTCCCTGCTGCGGGAACGTGTGTGAGTGTGAGCGAAGAAGACGTGAGCGAGTTACCCTGTGATTCCCCCGGAGTTTTGGATCCCTTCACTGTACATATATTGCACTGGCACTGTAAATAAACTACACCTTGGAGATACCTTACCGCTCTGCGTTTGAATCCCTGTACCAGATCGTGACACTAGAGATGTGTTTGTGTGCATTTATATGATCATAGTCATACTTTACAATCTACTCATAATTACAGGACATGGCTGTAAATACCTTTTATGGAAGAAAACCAAGGGAATGTGCACTTTCTGTCCTCAGAAAGTGAGGACAATGAGCTTTCAGGGAGTGACATTGAAGTAGAGGAGTGGATCCCTGAATGAGGTTTGCGGGACACTTAGGAGCTCAGGGGTCAGTTGGTAAAGTAACTGTGTGTGCTAGTGCCCACATAGCAAGCAGGTCTGGCCAGGATCTGGTATCAAGTCGGCACTGCTGGCCGACTTCTGGCATGATAAGATGTATGTCATCAGGCCTGGCATAGATGGCACTGTCTATGTGATGGCATGCCATATCTGGCTTGATTGTGGTTTGGCTTATGTGGCCCAGGCCTACAGAAAATAGGTCTGGCCCAGATCTGGCATCAAGCTGGCACTTCTGACTGACTGGTGTTTTGGCAGAGTGTATGTCAACCAGATGTGTGACAGGTCTGGCAATGACGCCACTGTTTATGTGATGGCGTGCCATATCTCAGGTGGTAGAGCAGGTTACAAACTGGTCGGAAGTTTAGCGGTTCGATCCCTGGCTCCTCCAGTCTGCATGTCAAGAGTGTGAATGTGTATGAATGTAGTTAGGAAGCACTCAGTTAAGCAAAAGTGGCATGTTGTATAGAGCAGTTTGAGTAATCTGGGAGAGTAGAAAAGTGCTATATAAAAATCAGTCCATTCACTGTCTGAACAGAGTTTCGGCATGTTACTTTTGCACTGTTTTGCATGTTCTGGCACATGTTGTTATTACATGGCTTGATTAAGGTACACATTAGGCTGACATCTGGGGCTAGAGCTGAAACCGTTCTGGCCCTTTGGTGGCCCAGACCTGGTTTGTGTGGGCCACCACTGTCATTCAGAGCAACGGGTTTTTCCCTTTTCTACATCTAACTGTTCTCTGAAAACAGGAAGTGGTTAGTAGCTGAATAAGTTCATCACAAAAGTTATTAGGTGAAAAGTCACGTAGACATGTAGATTGCTTAGTGATCAATAAAAAGCACATTTTTATAATGCTAACTGTTTTGGCAATATTATTACATCTAATAGTGTTTTCAGAAGACTTCCATGTTGTACTGGGTGTCCAGTAGATGTAATCACTCCTCTATTCTGCCAAATTTTTGCAAAGTGGTGAACTGCTGAAAAAACATACTGGCTGTCTGTGTATATATTTATATCTTGGCCTGCGAGCAATTCACATGCACGTATGACTGCTTTGAGTTCTGCACTCTTGAGTGGAGTGTGGATGACCTTCTTCAGGTGAGGCCAAAAGTGTGCTTGGGTTCAATTGACCACACTTCTGGATGGTAATGTGTGATTGCGATAGTAAGATTCCAACATATGATAGTTGTCTTGCATGCGTCAGGTAAGACAGATTGGCTTGGAGTAAAATTGAAGTCACTGCGTGGGGTACTCTGATGATCAGAGTGTGCCCTAAAACAATGTCAGCTGACTTTTTTATTTATTTATTTTTTTTACTGCCTCTGCTGCAGCTGCACAGGCTTGCACATGCAGGCAGGCCTGACGCAACAGAGTGTAATTTGCACGAGTAAAATGCGAGCGGGCGTTGTTTTTCTCCAAATGCCTGTGTTAACACTGCTTACATATAACCTGCTCCTCCATCTACATGTAAGCAGAAAGGCTTATCATAGTCAGGCAATGCTAAAACTGTATTTGTCTGTAATGCCTATTTTTAAGTTACTGAATGCTTCTTCTTCTTTTCTTCTCTATAGATGCAACACTACATTTTCACTCAAGGCATTTTAGATAATTTCTATTTTTTCCAAAGAATTCACACATCTCACACATCCTACATATTTCAAACTTTTAAGTTAGGATTTTTAAAAAAACAACAACTTTGCATTGCTCATAGCTCACAGCTCTAAAGCTAGGCATTTGTAAATCATATGCCTAATCACTATGTGTCACTGTGATCCACAAGTATGGTCACAAATTTGTTTCCAAACAAACAAAATAATCAAACAAAAACAAATTGCTGATGGCATGAACGTTTTACACACATTAGTCAGGACACAAAAAGGAAAAGAAAAAAATGCTGCCAGAAACAAATCAGAAGTGTGAGGACAAAACTGAGTTCACAGACAGCTGCATGTGTGAGCTTTTAATATCATGCAGCCTCTGCTCTAAAAAAATAAAAATAAAAATGTGTAACTTGCTCATTAACTTGTTAGTCTACATATTTAATTCAACTTCTCAATCCCGTAGCTTTAGCTGGTGTCTACAGGGTTTGGCTTATTGGTTGTTATTATAGGTTTGCTCTATATCTCAGCAATGTCTCATCTAGGATGACAGGTTTCCAACCGGGTCAAGTGCCTCTATGCACTTCATTAGTTTACTTATTTTCTTCGTTATCTTCATCTCATATGTCGTTCTGCTGAGTTTGAGCAACCTTAAGCTTGATGCAGACTACTTCTTAACAATTATCCACCTCACATCATAACTGACTGAGGTGCCTCTTCATATTAATATTATGTCATTATTAATGTTATTATCTTTTTTATATATAACAGCAATAGTATATTACAATACTTTATTACTGAGCCAATTTGATAGTTAGGATCATCGTACTCAGCAAACAGATAATTTAGAATTCATCCAATCGGCACAGATTTGCTTTTTCTCTGAACAGGTTTGTGCCTACCTTTTTAGACCGGTCTTCTGTTTGCCTCATATCAGATCCAACCTTCGGTCACGTTCGTTCTCTGTTGCATGGCGAACCAGGCAGTTTATTATAATATTTTATTTCTATTTTATTTTGTGTCCATCAAGGGCTTCGGGTGATCTGCAGTTTCACCATTTCCCAAGCTGGAGACATTTACCTTTTCACACACTTTCCTTGGCTGAACAATGACGCAGCCTTCATGTACCTTATGCATCTCTCTATTTTATTTAAAAGGTTTTCGTGTGAATTATTTTCTTTCATTCATTCCATACATTCTGTACATGGTCGTCATTCCAACTATGTTTCATTGTTAACACCAGTATACAGGTTGTTATCCTTGCTATTATTAGTTTCAATACATTAAAGATAAGTTCTAATGTAATTTTGCCTTTTGTTTATTTTATTTTGTACTTCTTATATTTATATCTTTTTGGTGGGCTCTGTTTCCAACCTTTTTAAACTACTTTAAACTACTTGTTTAAAACTACTCAGTGGATCTGCGCTCGACAGTGCAGCCTAGGCGGAGTAGTCAAACGCAGATCCACTGAGCGCTCAACACAGACAGCATCGTCAGAAGAAAAGTTGATAAAATAAATTAAAATTTTTGTATTGTTCGATACATATGCGTACCGAACCGAAAGCACTGTATCGAACGGTTCAATATCGATACGAGTATTGTTGCACCCCTAATACATACACACAGATAGACATTTGCGCGCCAATTTGTCACGAAGTAATTGCGGCTACCTCTAAACCCAGCCTAAACGTAGTTCCTTTCGGCGAACTCAACCTATTTCACGTGTTTCACGAAGTAATTGCGGCTAAATCCCCTGTCAATAATAAAGGCCTTTATAAAGCAAGGCAAGCTGTGAGAGAGAACTAGGTCAGAGGGGGACAGGTCGCCTTAGCAACAGAGGCTTAAGTTAGTGGAAGTTTAAAAAACAGGAAGTTTAGTGCAGAGCTGCAGAGGCATATCAATAGAAAACAGGAAACCAGACAGAAAAAGTGGAACTAGTAACACAGAAGTTTTTATCAAAACTATGTGTGACGTGTAAAGGACCAAAATAACACCTCTCTCTTCTGGAAGATGATTAAATAAATAATTATAAATGTTTTGACCAACTCAGTCGTGTTCTCTCTATTCAGTAAAAGAATGACAAGAACCAGATTTAATAGCAACAAACTATTTCTCCAGGCTAAATGATGATCCTCTAAATTTGTGACACGCCATTTCCTCTCCAGATTACGAGTCATCTGCTTTAGGCTACGTGTTTGAGAATTATACCACGGAGTCAGGTACTTCTGATTAGAGACCTTAGTTTTCTCAGGAGCTACAGTATCCAGAGTCGTACGGAGTGAGGAGGTGAAATTATTAACAAGATGATCGACCTCTGTTGGAGTAGCATTCAGATAGGTGCTCTGCTCTATGTTGGTACAGGGCATTGAAGATGATAACAGTGGGTGGATTATATTATTAAACTTAGTTACAGCACTTTCAGAAAGACATCTACTGTGATAAAGTCTACTCTCCACTGCTGTGTAATCAATTATTGTAAATGTAAATGTTATCAGGAAATGATCAGACAGGAGAGGGTTTTCAGGAAACACTGTTAAATGTTCAGTTTCTATGTCATATGTTAAAACAAGAGCTAGAGTGTGATTAAAGTGGTGGGTGGGTTCTTTTACATTTTGAGAGAAACCAATTGAGTCTAATAACAGATTAAATGCCATGTTGAGGCTGTAATTCTTAGCATCTACATGGATGTTAAAATCACCCACAATAATTATTTTATCTGAGCTCAGAACTAAATCAGATAAAAAGTCTGAGAAATCAGACAGAAACTCTGTGTAAGGCCCAGGTGGACGATAGATGATAACAAGTAAGACTGGTTTCTGAGTTTTACAGCTGGGGTGGACGAGGCTAAGCATCAGGCTTTCAAATGAATTAAAGTCTTTCTGGGTCTTTGGTTGATTAATAGGCTGGTGTGAAAAATTGCTGCTACACCGCCCCCTCGGCCTGTGCTTCGAGGTTTCTGGTAGTTACAATGACTCGGGGGTGTTGATTCATTTAAACTAACATAATCATCCTGCTGTAAGTTACTGAGACACTGTTGTTTAGACTAGAATGAGAGAGCTTCTGTAATAAAACTGTTAGGGACACACCACCATTTTGGGTTTCGCAGAAATGTGTCATGCAGGACGCATCTCCCTTCTAGAAGTATTGTGAAAGAGAAAGTGTTAAATGGTCTACTGAGCAGTGTTTTGTCTTCCATCGGATGCCTCTGAGAAATCAAAAGAACTCGGTGAAGTGTTGATCTTAACAGTCCAAGATCTCCAGTCATCAGTGTTTGATATTTTCTTAATAATGGACAAGAAGAAGAAAAAAGCCCTAAAAACGTTTCATCTATTTAAACATTTGAATATAATCTTGTGTGTTGGAGCGATTTATTTCCATAAACCAGGGTCCTTTAAAAGCATCACTCACATATTCTGCTCAGTGATTTAGTGCCGTCTTTCCCAACCTTTTGGAGCCACTGCACATTTTCACTTTAGATTAAAATAAAACAAAAATGTCACAAAAACTATATTGATCATTTTTCCCCGTACACTCGGCTAGGTTTGTCCCCTGTTTACCTTTTTTGCTTTCTTCTGACCACTACTCATGTTAGGGGTGTCATCTGGGTCAGAATTTTCTCCAGGACCAGGTCTTTTTCTTATAAATATTTATCTGTTGCTATTACGTGTTGCGTAGTCTCACAGCATGACTATTATGCAATTTCATCTTCTTCTGTTTTCCTGGCAGTTGGCAACCCATTTAATTAGAGCATGTAGTGGTACTGCCCTCTAGTGGAAGAGAATATAATTGTTCCACCAGTTACTCACGCCAATCACTTAGAGAACCATATAATCTTCCACAGCACAGTGGTTGGGTAACACTGATTTAGAGAATAAAAGCTCAGAGTCACTGGGCTTCATAAAGAGGAAGCTGAACATGTGAAACTCTCCTTCAGAATAAAAGACACGTGCAGCAGGCTGGATGCTGAGCTTTATTGAAAGAACACAGAGGGGTCAAACACCTCACAGGCAGGCAGTCACATGATTCATGGCAGACAATGCTCTCACACACTTCACATGTGAGTGTCTTAGCTGTCACATGATTAATGAGATGTTTGTGTAACTACTGAGGTTGATGAGAGATCACATCACTTCTTCACTTCCTCCCACCATCGACTCACTTCAGTTTGCTTACCGGACTAATCGTTCCACAGACGATGCCATATCTCACCTGCTCCACACATCCCTGAGTCACCTGGACACTGGCAGAGGGAATTATGTTAGGATGCTGTTCGTGGACTACAGTTCAGCATTCAACACAATAATTCCCTCTAAGCTTTTCACCAAGTTGACGGATCTAGGACTCAGCTCATCACTGTGTCAGTGGATCCTCAACTTCCTCACAGACAGACCCCAATCAGTGAGGGTGGGGAAACAAGTCTCCCCCTCCATCTCACTCAGCACTGGAGTGCCTCAGGGCTGTGTTTTAAGCCCCCTGCTGTACTCACTGTACACTTATGACTGTGTAGCCACATCCGACACCACCTCCATTGTCAAGTTTGCTGACGACACTGCTGTTGTGGGCCTGATCTCCGACAACATCGAGACGGCCTACCTGGAGGAGATTAGGAACCTGGAGACCTGGTGCCAGGAGAATAACCTCCTCCTAAACGTCAGCAAGACTAAGGAGCTGATCGTGGACTTCACTACAAAGCAGGCGAGGAATTACAAACCCCTCATCATCAGTGGCACGCCAGTGGAGAGAGTGGACAGTTTCCGATACCTGGGTGTCCACATCACTCAGGACCTGTCATGGTCCTGTTACATCAACACCCTGGTTAAGAAAGCCCGTCAGCGTCTCTTCTTCCTCAGAAGACTTGGAGACTTCCAGAAGGTGCTCAAGAACTTCTACTCCTGCACCATCGAGAGCGTCCTGACGTCAAACATCTGCACCTGGTTTGGGAACAGCACCAAGCAGGACAGACGAGATCTGCAAAGGGTGGTGCGCTCGGCAGAACGCATCATTCAATCAGAGCTCCCTGACCTGCTGTCCATCTACACCAAGCGGTGCAAGTCCAAAGCTAGGAAGATTATGATGGACCTCTCCCATCCCAACAATGGACTCTTCTCACTGTTGAGGTCTGGGAAGCGCTTCCGCTCCCTTAAGGCCAAAACAGAGAGAATGAAGAGGAGCTTCTTCCCCCAGGCTATTCGGGCCCTGAACCAGGTGTAGGACTGGACTCTCCCAAACACGTCACTATAAGACTGGACTCTCACACACGTCACCACACATTTCCTATAATCCTATAATTCCTATAATTTATAATCCTTATCTTTATAATCTCTTCTGCTATTTGCACATTCTTTACTGTAAATTCCTAAGTTAATTTGTAAATTTTTGTAGTAAATTGTAAATATTGTAAAACTTTTCTTCTGTCATTTAATGGTCTGGCATTGTACAGCTACAAGCATTTCACCCCCATGTCATACTGTGTATGGTTGTGTGTGTGTGACAAATAAAATTTGAATTTGAATTTGAGGTTAATAGAAGAACTGAGAGGGGAGGCTGGAGTTTAGAGTTAACTGAGATCAGGAGAAGAGCTTGGACTCCCTTTGCGCAGCAAGTAAAAACTGACTGAGTTCTGTGTGATCTTCCTTTGTACACAGGTGATTGGTCTCTGAGTCAGCGGGGTTTAAGTGTTAGACCCAACACTAAGCATTGTTAATAATACAATATTGTGAAATTGCGTTTGTTTCCCCTCCAAAGCAGCTGTAACAATCTGGGTCACAACGAAAGATGTTAGTCAGCCCACCGATGGCATCACCAAGAGAACGAAGGGAATTAGCCAAAATGTTTTCAGGAATGGGAGGCTGATTGTTGGGCTGAAAGATTTTTTTAAACACAAATACAGAATAGTAGGTTTCAGCGATAAGTTCAAGGTCCTCAATGATGCTCGATGAATGGTAGCGGCTGGTGCATGTATCACATGCAGAGGCAAAAGAGTAGATGAGCAGGAAGTTGTCCTGGCTGTTTGGGAATCTGTTCAGGTTCTCAGTTTCCAGCCGCTCTCTCAGGGTTTGCAGAACACGACTTTCTGCATGTTGTCCACTTCGTCCGCCTTCAGGTGATGTTGGTCTGGCCACAATCACCCTCTGGCCTACATACACTCCACGATTGTTATTGTCTGAGGTTCTTTCCCCAATCTTTCCCAGAACAGCCTGAAAGGGATCACCCTCAAAAACCTGGTTAAGAGTGTTTAGGTTCAGATCTACCGGGATGACTGCAGCCAGACAGAACTGTCCATCTATGCTGTATCTGTTACAGGAAAAGGCACAGAACACACATCTCAGTATTCTGTGGTTTCATATCAGATTACTATAAAACAACAACACATACTTAGTGAGCAGAAGACCACAGAAATGTTGGCTGGGTGTGTAACATTAAAAACAGATCCCAGTTTAAATGAAGAGTGTTTGTAGCACCATGAACTGCTGCTGCTCAGCATCCTGCAGATTAAAGCTCTGATAGAAACTCTTAATAAGTGTGTTTACTCACTGTCCTCTGATTTTTCTTACGATACGAGTCAGATCCACCTGGGCCAGAGAGGCTCCAACTGACAGCAGGAAGACGAGCATCATGCAGGGCAGCACGTCCATCTGCAGTTTAATCAAAAAAGACACATTTTAGACACAATTAAATATGATTAGTATTATAGTCAGCAGTTAACCTTTAATTAAAACTTCATTTTAATATTTATTAAATTTTTCTCAAACGTTCTCACCTTCACTGCTTTGTTTGTCTTGAAACTGCAACAGAAGAAAGAAACCAGTGAACTGCAGGAAACTGAACTGGGACTAAACTGTGAACCAAGTGCTTCACTTACACCTTAACTGGCAAAATTAACTGGCATTTAATTAGTTAAATAAGTAATTAATATTTTTAATTGAACACTGAAAATTTGAATTGTTTAAGGGCATATGTAATTCATTTTTGTCACTCCTGGCTCTCCATAGAGTCTGGCATGTTTTCCACAGACTGACCTCTTCAGACTGCACAGACTGCCCAACTCCGCCCTCTAGTGTGACATCCAGGCCTGGTCTGCCCTAATTATTATTGCATAAGAATGCTGAAGGACAATTTTTTTAGTCCAAAGCCAGGAGAAACCTATCTCAGACTGCAAACTGTTTAGGGAGCGCTGCAATAAATGCACTGTTGTAATAACAAATACAAAGGCTGCATATTTTATCTCAGAAACTTCAAAAAATGCAAGCCCCTTAAAATATTGGAAAACAAGTTTCTAGATGGAAAAGATACCGATTCAGAGCCCCCACATACATAACAGATACAGTAAGAAACAACAAGGCTAAAATACTCTTTTAAAAAATTAGTTTCTGCGACGCTCTGAGATCACGCACTGCTGCCTACAGTGAAGGGCTCGTCTCCGGTAATATGGACCAATACAAGGCTGCATTTTCAACGTGCGCAGCGCGGTCAGACAGGCAAAGTAGAGCTACAGGGAAAAACTAGAGTCACAGCTTTAACAGTGCGACTCTAGGAGCCTGTGGGAGCGACTGTGGACAATAACGGACTATAAACAACCAGCTTCTCCAATGGTGAATGCCGACACTTCACTGGCTGATGAGCTGAACGCGTTTTATGCTCGCTTCGACGCTGCAGCAATTAAAACAACAAACGGCTGCGAGCGCACGGAGTGCACCGGTGAAGACACGGCCCAAGCAGTGGTTCTCACGTGCTTCAAACAGTCCATCATCGTCCCTGTCCCAAAGAAACAATAGCCCGCTTGCCACAATGACTACCGTCCAGTAGCACTGACTTCATCTGTGATGAAGTGTTTTGAAAGACTGATGAGAGATCACATCACTTCTTCACTTCCTGCCACCATCGACTCACTTCAGTTTGCTTACCAGACTACAGTTCAGCATTCAACACAATAATTCCCTCTAAGCTTTTCACCAAGTTGACGGATCTAGGACTCAGCTCATCACTGTGTCAGTGGATCCTCAACTTCCTCACAGACAGACCCCAACAGTGAGGGTGGGAAAACAAGTCTCCCCCTCCATCTCACTCAGCACTGGAGTGCCTCAGGGCTGTGTTTTAGGCCCCCTGCTGTACTCACTGTGAACTCATGACTGTGTAGCTACATAGAACTACAGTCTGGTGCCAGGAGAACAACCTCCTCCTAAACATCAACAAGACTAAGGAGCTGATCGTGGACTTCACTACAAAGCTGGCGAGGAATTATGAGGCCCTAATCATCAGTGGCACACCAGTGGAGAGAGTGGACAGTTTCCTGGGTGTCTACATCACTCAGGACCTGTCATGGTCCTGTCACATCAACACCCTGGTCAAGCAGGCCCGCCAGCATCTCTTCTTCCTCAGAAGACTCAGAGACTTCCATCTGCCACTGAAGGTGCTTAACTTTTACTCCTGCACCATCGAGAGTGTCCTGATGGGAAACATCTGCACCTGGTTTGGGAACAGCACCAAGCAGGACAGACAAGATCTGCAAAGGGTGGTGCGCTCGGCAGAACGCATCATTCAATCAGAGCTCCCTGACCTGCTGTCCATCTACACCAAGCGGTGCAAGACCAAAGCCAGGAAGACCATGATGGACCTCTCCCATCCCAACAATGGACTCTTCTCACTGTTGAGGTCTGGGAAGCGCTTCCGCTCCCTTAAGGCCAAAACAGAGAGAATGAAGAGGAGCTTCTTCCCCCAGGCTATTCGGGCCCTGAACCAGGTGTAGGACTGGACTCCCACACACATCACATCACCACATGCACTCTGTTTTTTTTGCACACTTATTATAATTTATAATTTCTTTTTATTCATAATTTCTTACGTAAATTTCTAAGTTAAATCTGTAAATTTTTGTTGTAATGTGTAAACCTGTTAATCTTACTGTTAATTCTTACTGTCATTTAATTGTTGGGCATTGCTCAGTGTAAATGACCACAGCAGACCCGGTGACATTAACATGCTTTGCAGCATTCTTTATTAGCACACACACAGTTGCTGTTCGCAGTGCACACAGAGCTGCAGCTCTGATTTGATTAAAATTTAATTTAAAATTTGATGCTGTTGAAGTGAAGCAGAGGTTATATTAGAGAACTACACTGTAAAACCTAATATTGTGCTTAATTAAAAATATGAAGACGACTGAACTCAGTTTTTATCAACTTCTTATTAACACCTAGCTTAAGTTACCAGTACTGTTGGAGCTATTTGTTCTTTATTTTTATTATTTTGAAATTTGTAAAAGTTTGTTGTTAGTTTACTTATATTTTGGGGTTTATTTACAAGTTTTATTTGTATTTTAATATTTGTTTCAATGTTCGGTTTGTTTGGTGTTTACCTTGCTAAGTCAGTCAGTAGGAGCTGTAGGGCCATTTTTTCTATAAATAAAGAGACTGGTATAGGACCAGCATGCACTGCGGGGGGGGTCCTATGGGTTTTGTTTTTTTTACCAGAGCAGGAGAAGCAGCAGGAAGTAACACAAAATTGATCTTGTTATTGCCAAACTGGATGAATAAACCATAAAGACGCAACTTTCAAGTTCGGACAGTGGACTTCTTTCGCCTGCGTACGAAATATGATCTCAGTGCAGCAGGGGCTTGTTGACTTTTAATTGTGGGATGTTTGGTTTGTCAAACAAAAGGAATTGCCACTACAAGTACTATTCATTCAAAAAGCTAATCAACTCAGTTTATTTGATTTGTCTTAAATTAGAAAAACTTAGTAAGCTGGAAATGTCGCTTTTCTGTGGTTAAAAATAGTTGAAATTGTCATTTTATTTTGTTTTTATCTCATAATCAAATCATTTTGCAAATAAACAGACAAAAGGCAGTCTCCCTTCAGCGGAAGAAAAAAAACGATATTGTCACTGCGTTCCTTCTCCCTCACACGGATCAGTTCACGTGTTCATGGCCCAAACAGGTCTATCTGGAATATGTTGAGCAAAGCTGGAGAAATTTCAGCTCAGATTGTTGGTATTGCTGTGATTGTTATGTGGTACACATACCAGCTTCTGTGTTTGAATGCTAAACTAATGTATTATTTAAACTCGAGATTGCACTTGTGACTGAACAATGAATACATTTTGTTTTGATTATATAAGTAATGTAACTGCAATAAAAATGTGTGGGACGCCCAAATTTAGTTTTAGAACAATACAATCTGAGACTTTAAGATGATGGCAATATAATTGTTTGTTGTTCAGTAGAACAGTGTCCAGTATGGGTCTAATGTGTCAGCTGGAAAAGTTGGGGAACCCTTGGTTAACCCACACCCTTCAAGTTTGGCAGAAGGTAATCAACATTTGCGGGATACACAAAATGTTAAGAATTTTCAGGTGGTTTGATTTTGACTCAGACTTTATTCCAAACAGACACGACTCTGACTTTAAAGCATGGATATCTTATGGCCTTACAACGTTCCTCTCTCTTACTCATAGAAAAATTGTGCTCAGCTTTGAGACCTTGCGAGAAAATCCAAACCTGACACAATAGGACTTTCACAGATACCTACAGCTGAGATCATATATTGATCATGAGTGCAATTTGTCTGACTTTACAGATGCTGAGTCGCATTTTTTCCACATCCTGAAAAATGCAACAAACATGACCCATACTAAATCCATCTCTATACAAAGCTCTATAGTGCCAGCGAGACAACACTTCATACACCAAAGACAAATGGCAAAGGGAATCAGGGATTGCTATCTCTGTGGAGAAGTGGGAAAGTGTTTGGTCCTGCCAGTGGTCCACATCCAGTTCTATGAGCTGGAGGGAACATGGCTGGAAGAATATTATTAGATACTTCAAGACACCATATCAGGAGAGATATAAAGGTTCACATTTTTGTCTCTGCGTTTGTGAGTCCTGCATTTTTGGTCCTCTCTCATTATATGTGCCTGCCTGCACACAGCCATGACAGGAACTTGAAATATTTGTCTGTGGGTGAACAATTAGTATTGCACAGTCAGAAATATCAAGTTATTCTTAGTACTGCATACTTGCAATGAATAAGTTGTCCTAACAGTCAACTTAAGTAAGCTTTACTCAGTTTTTTTGAGTTGTGGGAATTAATGAGATCTTACAGTGTAGCTAACAGTTTTGCAATGTGGCATAATTCATAAAAGTTGAAATTTCTTCTGTATTAAACAGCAGAAATGAGGCTTTCTTGTCAGAGGTCATTTTTGGGAAAAGGGGAAAAAAGTGGCTGACAACACAAAAATGAGACTGTTTGTAATAGTCAGAGGGGATTAATGACAATGTTTATCAAACCTGAAACGTAGTATGGATCTTCTTTTGCTGCTGGTTAAGTCAGTTTTGGCTGGAGAGTAGTAACACCTGTGTACCTGCTCTCATTTGTGGTTTTACCTGTTTGGTGGTTGTTGAAATCGTTCTGTGAGCTTTAAGATGAGATTCTGTCAAAATACATTAATATTTAAAAATTGATTCAGCATTTAATCAATCGATATCACGTTATTTAAATTAGGGTAAATGGCCTGTATTTGTATAGTGCTTTACTTAGTCCCTATGGACCCCAAAGCGCTTTATACTACATTCAGTCATTCACCCATTCACACACACATTCACACACAGTTATAATTGATATAAGTTGGTGAAAAAAACCCTACCTTACCACACCACAAGAAGGGTTCAAAACCTGTGCACAGGGGAACAGGGAGATCAGGTAATCTACAACGACAAACAAGATCTCAACACTCAAGCATGAAGACGCAATAACCAGTTTTTCACTAACAGTTTGCAGTTCAACAATCCAGCATAGACAGAAAGCTGCACCACAACCTTAAAT